TCATATTTTTAATGTAAATTTAGGATTTTGTGTTGGGCCGTATTCATAGACACCCTGAGCCACATGCGGCCTGTGGGCTGCAGATTAGACACCCATGCAAAGCAATGGGCAGCTGGCAGTTTATCCCAGGCTAATCCTCTGAACCTGTCCCCAAAACCCCCTTTTTCTCTGATATCCCAGTGAACTAAGACAGCCCAGCCTAGGCTCTCCTGTTGCTTCTTCTGTGCTAAGCCCTTCCTTGTTTCATTGTCACTAACTTTAATAAATGTACCCTTATAATCATCTGGACTTGTGTTGTGAAATCTTTCCTATACAAAGTCAAGAATCCACACTCTACAGCTAGCCCTAGGAAGACTCACTCAAGGCCAGACCCCTGATCAGTAACATTATGAAGTGATGGAGAAAGACCTCAACCCTAAGTGTGTCAGGCTCTGGATCAGGGGTCCTTAAAGTGTACTCTTTACTAGCAGCATCAGTATCATTGGGAAATTTATTAGAAATGCAAATATTTAAGCATCACTCCAGATCTATGGAATCAGAAATACTCAAGTGGAGCCCAGCAGTCTGTTTTAATAAGCCCTCCAGGTAACTCTGGTGCATGTTGCAGTTTGATAAGTTCTATTCTGGAGATCAAGATTTTAAGCACTATACAAACACATATTCTGTGGGAAGTCAAATAATGCTTAGTCAAGATACTTAATGAGCCACTGAGCTGCTGTATCCATGAACAGATTGCAGTTAAAGGCTGAGCCAATTATTCTGGGTTATGAGCTTCTTGTACCCACTCAAACAGGCAAAAAGCAGATTCTCTTCTATGTCCTGCCAACTACAGATTAACTTTACTCAGTACTCTTCTCAATAGGCCCAATTCCAAAAGTATTTGAATTTCACTTGTCTTTGCCAGCACAGATAATACCTATATCCCTTTAGTCTAATTTATAGATTTAAGAATCAGTCTATAGTCTGATGTGGCTGTCATACAGAACAAGCAATGTGAAGCAAAAAAGAGTGATTAGATATACATCTTTATTGTTAAACTAAAAATCTTTATTGAAGGCAGCTTGATAAATTGATAAAGTAACCAATAATAGGTAGATATTGCAAAAGTAAATTGCATAGATCAACTCAGAAATTAATCAGGAACCCAGTTTCAGGAGACAAATACAAGGTATTTAAAGATTGTGAACTAACTTTTAATCTCATTGCTACCTCCCACTCAAAAACCTGAAAAGTTACAGAAATGGTATTTTATAAAATCAATTATAGACCCAGAAAACAAAAAGAAATATATCTCTGTAATGGACTAGAAACTATGCACAATCCTTAAAAGACAGTGAGTAGATGGGATCTATTTGAAATAGGAAACTATAAGCTAAATTCATACAGGACAGAATGAAATGTAGGTGCAGCTCCTCCATGGTATGTAGCCCAAAGGTGGTGAATCTTGGAGCAGAGCAGAAAGGGAGTTGAGAGATGTAAAGAGTCACTGGTTGGTCTCAGCAGAAACAGTCATGGGTGCAGACTCTTTCCTCTGTCCCACCCTCTGCTTCTGGCAATCAGTTGAGGGTGGTGAGTTGTATAATTGAGTCTAAGAGTCAGGATAGTGACCTGGGAATCTGGAAACACAGGGGTTACTGGGAAACTCCTCACTCTGGAGAATAATAAGGAATAATGAGTGTACATTTGACCTGTTGGCTTATCCTGAAATTCTGCTGATAGTGCCACAGAAAATAGGTCCTAACATTCAAGAATGCCAACTTCAAAGATGAGCAGATACCAAGAATTACCAGGATGACTTGGAAGTCTTGTACTAGTAAGAAATGAGCCAATGTTAGCAAGTAGGATGTGTGAGATTTTGTACTGGGGTAATTTACATTCTCAGAGGGATTTGAGATAATATTGATCCCCTTGAAGCATAGGTTGTTATAATAAAGAAACAATTATAGTTCTTGGAAGTATGTATGTATGTATTTCACATACCACACCCTTCACAGACATGCACACAACACATACACATACCATGCATACCCACACACATAGCATACATACTACATACATGTACAAACCACATATGTACCAAAAAGTACACACACAAAGCACCCAAAAGGTATCATAGACACTAGAAACACATCCATGCACATACCACATACATTTCTAAAAACAAGTAGATTTCATATATAACCCAGTGTATATCTACATCAATTAAAAGAACAAAATGGTTCTAAGAGAATCACAATATTTGAACATGTTCATCTCACCTTCCCCCTCTAATAATAGTTTTTTATGTTATTATCTGTTCAGCTCATTATTTTTCTTTCCCACATAGGATCTCTGTGCCATAGGTAAAGCCACACTGAACTAATTATTTCCTCAAACAACGGTAAACTTAGACTTCTACCTGATTTCTCCTCCCTCTCTTTCCAACTTTGGGGCATCCAGACATGATAAAAGTGGGAGAAGAGAGGAATACACAAGATATATCTTTCTCTTCCAAAGCAAGTTTCATGGAAACCACTTCATTTTTTAAATAATTATAGTAAAATATATTATCAAAGTTGGTTTTTTTGTGTGTTTTTAAAATTTTAAAAGTAACCATTGGAAATTAAATCGGATGTATAACTGGTCAAATTCTGAAAAAGCAAAATGGGAAAATATTACTGGATCAACCCAATGAAAGAAAAGAGAAAAGAAAAAAATACTAGAAATAGGGTAAATATAAAAAGATAAAGTGACAAAATAGTAAGAATGACTGGACTTATCAGTTTTCAGTGTGTATCCACAAAATAATTAGGTCAACTTTTCCTACTCGAAGGTTAGTATCTCAGATTGTTTCAGAAGGCAAAATCTACATGTACCTAAAGCAAGATGGAACAGAGGGTTGATACTTTGACACTTAAGGGATGAGCAAGGATCTAACAGGAAAATTCGAATATAAACAAAACAAGAGTGAAAATGTTAATGTAACTGAGCATAATGTAACTGAGTGCATTCATATTGTGCCTACCTATGACCCTAATTATTGGGTCATAATCGTATGAGTCATAATTGTTGGGTCATAATTGTATGACCCCAAAATTAGTATTAGAAGACACAGATTTTTATTCACAATATTCCAACTTTGAGAGTGCTTCAGCTTGGAGCCCTGTCCTCCCACTGGACTCAGCACTCTCCTTGCTCACCAAAAGGCTATATGCCAAAACCAAGCCCAATAATTCCCCATATCTTGATATGTACTTAAGTTGGCTATGCAAACAGTCTCAAGCAGCTCTCTCCTTCAGGATCTGGGATACATTGTCATCAGCCTCAACATAATAGTCCAGGAAAGCATATGCCATATTACGCTGGATCAGAGTAAAGTCCAGGAAAGGCACAAATCCCAAGAGTGTGGCCTTTCCATATTTCCAGAGTCCCAAGAGTCAGTGTCTTGCAAGGCAGAGTCCTTAATGGTTTGAGTCAGCTAGGGCAGGAACAATCAGAGCAGCAGCCTGTCATTCTCTCCCTTACTACACCAGGATGCATGGCTGAATCTTGACTACAAACTGCCTAACTGCTGCCTCATGACCCTCCTTCCTCATGGTTGCCCGCCCTTAGTTTAAATCCTGACCTGGAGCTTTCTATGTGATCTCCTATGCAGCTCCTCTGACAATGAGCTACATTTGCTAATCTCCCATATTTTCTACCTTCTCTTGGTTGTCATCCTTAGTCAGGTCAAGCAATTATTACTCAGTGATCCAGGGACCTTAGCCTCCCCTGGCTACATCAAGGGTCAGGATAGTCCTTAAAGTCATATACCCATCTCTTGCCCCAGAATAGTAGCCAGCTATTATCTAGCTACCACCTTGTCATAGTTATGAAAAGCATCTTAACAACATTATCATACACATCCCCCACCCCTCAACCAAAGGCTATGGGGGTCTTGGGGACTTCTCAATTTGTACTCAGTTTCAATAATATCAAAAAACCTAAAAAGAGTAAATGAGGTATTTTATCTTTAGTGGAAAGGATTTTATCTTTAGAAGGAAAGGGAGGAAGATAGAGAGGAAAAGAAATATCAATGTGATAAAGAAACACTGATTGGTTGCCTTCTGAATGCCCCAACCTGGAACAGAACCTGCAACCCAGGTATGTGCCCTGATTGGGAAGCAAACAGGTGAACTTTTGGTTTGTGGGATGACACCCAACCAACTGAGACACACTGATCAGGGCCAAAAGTTATTTTTACTAATAAAATCCACAATCCAAAATTAGGACATTATAGTCATGAACATTCAAATACTAGTTTCAGAATAAATTATGCAAAAATATAAAACACATAAGAAAATAAATTTTTTGGCATCAAAAAGTTTTAACACATTCCACAGAAATTTGGAGCTCAAAGAAATAAAAAAGTAAATATAGAAAGTCTGAATAATATAATTAACCAACTTAACATACTAGCTACAGAGAAAATTTTGTAAGCTGTAAGGAGATAAAACACATTTTTTAAAAATTATATGTTAATGCAAAAGTTATACATATTATTCATAAACTAGGCTCCAAAACCTTTATCAGTTCTATTTTAAATGAAGAATAAATTCCATAAGCCTTATTTTCTGACTATAATGTAATAAAATTGGAAGTCATGACACAAGAAGAACAATACTTAATCATGTGAAGATTTATAAACCTGCTCTTTCCATCAGGGCACCCACCTCAGGGAGGGAGAGATCTTTAAAATGCAGATTACCACCTATCCTTTCTCCATAGTACAGGTCATAAGTGATTTTATCAGATCTTGATAAGATAGTTAAATGTAATTCTTTTTAAGGATTCCAAAATATAAAATATTTTTAGATATAGTTTTAACTGAATGCATAAATAAACCTGAAGTTATAGATAACAATAAGAGCATATACAGATCAACAGCACTTATAAGTATAGATGTAACATTTATTACTGAAATATTTCCTCATTAAACTCAGGAATAAATTCAAAAAACAATATATCATGAATTAGCCAGATTTATCCCAAGTAATGTGAAAAAATGTATTAGCATTACATATGTTAATATAATTTATCACAACAATTTGTTATGAAGGAAATTCAAAATTATCTCATTTATTGCTTAAATGGCAGATAATAAAATTCAACAACCTCACATTTTGGGAAGTATCAGAAATACCCACATCATACTTATTGGTGAAGCATAGTAGGCAATAAAATGAGGATGTCCACTCAGCAAAATGTCTCAGCATTTCTATGGATCCACATTTACCTACTTCAGGAAGGAAGAAGAAATAAATAAAGCATATAAACATTGAAATTAAATTGAATATTAAATCTATGAGAAAAGGAGAATTAGCCATGGAATGTGTTGTCACAATCTACTAAGCATTTCAAGTGTAACTGGTGCTAAATTCAGACTTCATATCAAAATAAATTCCAGATGGGCTAAATATTTAAATGCCTATTAAAAAAAATTAGCCTTGGCTGGTGTGGCTCAGTGGATCAAGCATCTGCTTGCAAAACCAAAGGGTTGCTGGTTCAATTACCAGTCAGAGCACATGCCTGGGTTGCAGGGCAAGCCCTCAGTTGGGGGTGCACAAGAGGCAACCACACATTGATGATTTTCTCCCCCTCATCCTTTCCACCTTCCCCTCTATCTAAAAATAAATTTTTTAAAAATCTTAAAAAAGCAATCATAAAGACAAGAGAAAAACTAGAGAGTAAAAATTTGTATCAAAATCTGGGTGTTCTTTCAAAGCATGCAATCAAAATAAAAGAATATAAGGATAAGATTAATGTTAATATCTAAAAATTAAAATACGCTTTGAAATAAAACAAAAGCCTGCTGGATACAAAGTTAAAACATAAGGAAAACTGGGGGGAGGGGTAGGTAGAAATACATAGAAAAAGATTAATATAGTTATTGCATAGAAGATCTGATGAAAAAGAAAATGGTAAAATAATTTTTTAAAGGCAGGAGAGAGTACACAGAAGCAATTTAAATATAAAATGAAATGCAAATGACCAGTAAATATGAAAAAGCCTTAGTGAGATATAATGTATAGCTTTATAATCTATAGATATAATGTATAGCAAATCAGCATGCATTAAAAAGACTAGTAATATTAACAGGGACTATGGACAGACATTCTTGCCTGTAAATTGCTGCTGGGAATACTGTTACAACCTACTTGAAGGGCAATAGGCTGGAATTCAAGACACACCCCCTGACTCCAGAAACTGCAGCTTTAAGGACCTGTTCTACCAAAACAATTCCACTGTGTCACAGTTATGTATTCAGGTACCCCTTATAGTATTTTTTTAATTTAAAAAGGAAAGGACAAATTTTAAATTTTCATTGATATAGAAATAAGAAAATTACATAACTTCTATCCTAGAAAATATACAAAAATTATGTAATTTACTGAGTTATATTTAACATAAAAATTTATCTATAATGACTATTAAGTAAAAAAATCTGAACAAAGAATTGTATGTATAATATAATGAAAGAATGAGGTGTGTGGAGTCTGGCTGTCTGGAAAATTAGGACCCAAAATACTATCAATGTTCAAATCATGTTACACTTATATTGACACAAGGAAATACTTAATTCATGTAATATAAAATTAAACAAATTGCCCTGACTGGTGTGGCTCAGTGGGTTGGACACCATCTCGAGAACCAAAATCTCACTGGTTAGATTCCAGGTCAGGGCACATACCTTGTTTTAGACCAGATCTTCTGTTGGGGGCATGCGAGAGACAAATGATCAAAATTTCTCTCGTACATCGATGTTTTTCTCACTCTCTTTCTCCCTTCTCCCCTCTCTAAAAATGAATAAAAGCTAAAAAAATAACATAAAAAAGACAAATTGGATGTAGAAAATGATCTATAGCCATCCATATACCCCAAATCTGTATATATACATCAGCATGGGAAAAAGTAGGTTTACAGTTGTTTGTATGGAAAACACAGTCAGATTATGATGACTACAACAGCTTTATTAACTCGAGAATGTCACAGTGATACAGTGCACTTAAGCATAATCTTTAAGTGCTCAAAATGCTAGCTTTTGTTATTTACACATTTTTGTAGAGTCTACTTGCTATACTTTGTGTTTTGAGTACTTGCAACTTTAGACCTAATTTTGCCCACCCCTCTACAATGTAGATTTTAAAATTGCAAAAAAAAATCACTGAAGTATTTACTGCAATTTTGTCTGGTGGAGTCATTTAGAAAACCTGTTACAGTCGTCCCTCGCTATATTACGGTTCAAGTATTGTGGCTTCACTGTGTCATGGTTTTTTAAAAATATATATATCTAATTCTGTATCATGGAATTTTGGTATATTGCAGGATTTTGCGGTATACTGTAGCTGTATAAAATTTTATATGTTATTAAAATTACGTAGGTCTAAGAGTGTAGAAAGTGTTTAAGAGCATACGCAGTGTTTATAAGAGTGTGGGAAAGGTTAATAGGAGAGTGGGAAAGGTTTATAGGAGTGTGGGAAGGGTTTATAAAGCCTTTAAATATATATAAATAATAAAATAAATATAATGACACTACTTCGCGGATTTTCAGCTATCTCAGGGATCTCTGGAACATAACTCCCACGATAGGTGAAGGATCATTATATTTTCTCCTTTTAAATTTGCCTCTACTTCAGTTTTCCAAAGTGGACATGTGCCAATTCTATAGCCTGAGAAAAATATTGAAACCAAGGGACAGTAAGAGGGTGGGAAGTGTCCTTCCTGGCACCAGTGCATGAGCCCATCCCCCACTGTAAAACTATGCGCTTAGAAGTCATGAACAGGAGTCCCCAAGTTAAGAGGGCAGGTGCATAGCTTGAGCCTGTACCATAATGACACATATCTGGTGGCCTGTGCAAGGAAGACATATGACCAGAGGACTGACCAATCTTCAATACTTTCAATCTTTTGCCAAAGAAGCCCTTGCATTTTGTAGAAAATTCCTGAAGCATTGTTCATAGCAATTCAATTCTGGGAGGCCCAGCTCTTCAGAGACATGAGCATTCAAGGTAAAATCTTTTAGCTAATGACAACTTTTGCATTTTAATACATACCTAAATAGTATTTTCTGTGCCATATTACACAACTGCATGTTAAAGTTACTGACTGAAATGTTCTGGACATTGGCTTTGCTGATATTGTGAGGTTTTGCTAAAGTAACTAACTTCTCCCCATAATCCACTCTTGGAGGTCCACCCTCTAGTTTGGGGGAGGGGAGCTTAGGGCAGAATTCTTCCAGGGTGGAGGCTATCTGTAGGCCTGCTCCCAGCTTTGTGTCTACTTCCTCCCCCTGAACACATGCTTGACCTTACCTGCCCAAGAGAAAGGAAACCAGGGTCTTGCATTTTTCTGGAATTCCTGGAAGGTTACTGGTGTTGAGTAAATTAAGGCCATTCAAACTTGAATGGTAAGTGAATAAGTGAAAGAGATGTCAGAATAAATGTGAAGTGCCCCTCACTGTTCCTATGGCACTTGGTGTAAATTCTGCTATGTCATTTCAACTGCAGGCTGTACATCCTTGTGTTATTATAATAGCATTCCCCAGACACCCTGAATTCCTTGATGACAAGGGCCATCTCTGTAACACAGTACCAAGCACAGAATTTTATTCCTCTTTTGAGTCCTAAAAATGTCTATTGAATGAATGAATGAATGAATGAATGAGTATATAGATACATAAAGAAATAAATAGAGGTGTTTTTAGATCTAGGAATCACAATGCAAATCAATTATCACTCTTCATGTTGTTATTACTAGCAAACCTCACCAGATTTTTACCTGGCTACTTTTTGCTTGAGCAAAAGATGCCTAATTACTGGAAACTAAATGACTCAGCACCTGCCCAGCCTTAGTAACAGACAAGCTCTCAGTCTGAAAATTGCACTCTGCTCCATAAAATTATATTGTAGTCAATGGTTTTATCCAGAGCTGGTTTACTGACTTGACATGTAGCTAAACTAATTGCTTGTAATTAACTGGTGTTAAGATCCCTGTTGGTCATGCTCTTTATGGGTCATGATGGTCGTGATAACACTAGTAGTGTGTGTGTGTGTGTGTGTGTGTGTGTGTGTGCATGCATGCACATGCATTCTATCAGAAAGTGAAGCCAACAAATGGCCAAGTCACTCACAGCTACCTGCGTTCAGCTTCCCTGGATCTAATTAATCTCCCAATACAGAAATATATTAGTGCTGAGCCCTCTGCAGGGGTATTTGGTACAACTCAGTGAACCAGTTAGAGTGGGGAATCAGAAACTAGCTCTGGGGAGGCCAGGCTTGGTTATGAAAAGAGGGAGAAAAGAAGTGAGCCTGGAATGTTCTTGCTACTCTTGGGCAGAGTAACAAGTAAAAAATAGGTGGTGATCATTGAAAGAAGAACCAAGCCTAAGATTTTTTTACAGCCCCAGTAAAGATATAAGGTCTGCACCAAAGGAGGCCAAGACCATGTCAGTGTTTAAAGTGGGAAATCTAGTAAGGGGCACTGGGGACATCCATTGCTGTAGAGATGCTCAGTGCTTCCATCTAAGGGCATTGCTGATACCTCTGGATCAAAGCATTCAATATGTTTGTAGTAGAGTTTTTCTAATTCCTTTAATATAGCATATTAAGATGAACATGGTATCAGAAAGTGCACCAAGACAAAAATATCTCTATTGTATGACACATGACTGCATGGCATTATTCTAGCTCTCTGTATTTATTACTCTCAAAATAAATTGAAAAAATAACAAATATAAATATTTTAAATAACCAAGCACTACTTCTCTCCTTCTTCTCCCTCCCATCTCCCCCACTGTGGTAGAAGCCATAACCTAGGTGACTCTCATGTTGTGAGGTTAAGAGAACTTCCGAGGCAGGGACAGGACAATACTATTTAGGTGATCTGCCAGAGTGATAATCTGCAAAGAGCAGTTGTTATTCGTAGTGCTTCCACTGCCATCACCATCCAGCACAATCATCTGCTCTATATGGTAACATGGTTTTCATAAGGTATATTAAACTATGTGTCATTAAGTTATGCTGGTCTAAGGACTTGCTTCCCCTCACCTCACTTGTGTGACAGCAGGGGAAACATGATGCATCCCACGAGAATCAGGATGTGGCCTTGGGCTCACATTTAACCTTAAGTGGTTAAATCTCCTGAGTTTCTGCTCCTCAACTGTAGAATGAGAATGACAAGGTAGTTACAGTTCAAGGAGCTAATAGATGCAGATCCTTTAGCATAGTGCCCTCACTATTACCTTAGACTGTCATTCTTTGAATAAAGTAGTATTCAAAATGGCTAAATTAAATTTCTCTATTGAAAATAAATATTTTGAAGAAAACAAAAACCTATGTAAAATTTTCCTAGTCAGGAAGATTAGATTCCAAAAATAGAGAATAATTTTCAGAGAGGGAAAATTATTAGAAAGAAAGTAAGGGGAGTACTGTGTATGAACAGACTGAGATGTAGAACAGTTTTTTCTAGGGTTTATTAATGCAACTCAAGGCCATATATACATAACAATTATGGGATAATAGAGGCTTTACTTCAAGACCAGTAAGGGAATTCAGACAGGACTATTAAAAATATTAAGGAAAAGAGTAGGGTTAGGCTGAATTTTATTATCGGTGAATTAGAACATTTTATTTCAGAAAGGTGACTAATGATAAAACCACTTTCTTTGCCCTTTAAAAAATCACAAAATATAACTTCAATTCATATATACACATCAAAACACATGAGAGTAAGAACATTTATAAGTTGTGTGATGGGATTTGACATGGAAGAAATCCATACACTGTTATTTTGCCAAGCACAGGCACAGGCATCAACACATTCTTGGCAGTGACAGTGCTGTGATACTAGGGACAAGAGGGTCATACCCACCCCATCACTAGACTTCTCTAATGACAAATCAGAATAATCACCCATCTTCCCAGTGGACAACAGTATAGGGAATATACATTTTTTTTTTCACCAATGCAGTCTCATTTGACTATAGTTCATCTCATTTTAAACCTATGAAAGAAACTGAATGAGGCCTTCAAGGAACTGGGTGTCTTGCCCAGAACAGCAGAGAAAGTTATTAGTGGAAGCTGGCTCCAGTTTCTTTCTCAAGATCCCCTGGTCTGGCCATTGTAGACCACTAATAGTGAACTTGAAATGAGCAGGTGAGTGTGAACTATGTCACTTTAATTATCATAGTAAAAACATAGTTGACAGAAGTCAGGCTGGTGGAGATGACTTGGAGATTGGGGAGGGAGAGAAGAAGAAAGTGTCAAGGAGTTAGCACTCTCATTTTACAGTTTAATGTCAAGGGAGTGTATTGAAAGAAAATGGAACTAGAAATAAAAAGATGTGTTATTTAAAGTTAGAATTACTGATAGAAGTGATAGAAATAGTAATATAATTCTCAAATATTTCAAAGGGCAAAAAAGTGAAGGGGTTGGTTGCAGATCAGCCAGATTCTCTACATCTCCAGCAGAATGTGAGTTGATAGATGGATGAAGCATATTGGTAGTGACCCACAGAGATAAAACACATTATTTAGAGTTATGGAGGAATCTCACAGAACAATTACCAATAGAAAGAGTGCAAAATTTCTGCAATATGATTCTGGGCTATGAAGCCATCTGGGAATAAACTTACTTTATATTATAAGTCCATTTTAATATTTAATATTTAACTATACATATGCAGTATCTTTTAAAAAGTGACATAGAACCAATTTGCTATTTTTGTACAGAAAGATTTCCTATGCTCTCAAAAGAACATTTTAATGAAAAAAATCCTATGGAAATTATCAATAATATGCTTGTCATTTCTGACTGCCAAGAACACCACTTTTTAGTTTTAAAATATATGTTTTATTATTATTTAGGTATAGTAAGGCCAACAGAGCAGGATAGACAGCCACTGGGAAGATGACTTGTTATAATTCTCAGAGGAGGGGGCTCTCCTTACAGAGTTACATGGGTAAGCACCAAGGTGGGTCAGGAGGCAGTGGAGGAGGGGGAAACATAGGCAAGAACCTTTCTTGTGGTTTCCATGGGAAGGGGATTTAAAGACAAGGTGAACAAATTTAGGATTGGTGAGGTTGAATAACTTCAGTAGGCTCTGGAGCATAGTGGCTCTCCATAGTTTTCTGGTACCTGGCCCTGGGTGATTAGAGTAGACGGATTGTGGTCTAGAGTGTAATAGTGGGATAAAGTAGGTGGTTGAAGGTATGGGCTCTGGATGTTACATTTGCATCGCATCTCATTGGTTTGCATTTCACAGACATGCTCAAAGGTAAGTTGTTTACTATTGTGTCTCTAGGGATTGGCTTACTCTGGGATAGGCAATCATTTGAGTCAGAAAGACCCTAACATGTCAAAAGCATCAGAGTAAAAAAAATAAAAGAAATGATTGATACATCTTTTAAAATATTTTTTTCCTGTCAACAAGAAAAATCAGTGTCCATTACCTGCATCAGTAAAAAAATATTTTAACGGAATTACCTATGGTAATTTCCACAGTGAGAAATTGCCACAATGGGAAAGCTAATGGCTCACCAAGGCCATTAGTCTATTAACCAGCATTGACAAGTAGTGATAAAATCTGTTGATACTTCTGCTATTTGCCCAACATTTTCCATCCTGTCTGCCTCTGAGCCAGAGCAACACATGGAGCCCATCAGTGTGCAGTGCATCCTCAAGATGAATAATGCTTCTGGTCTCCACTCCTTACACAGCAAGCAACCTTCTAGCTTGAATTTAGTCAACCCAGAAAAGGAAACTATGCCAGTATTTGTCCAGGGAAATATGAGACATCTCATACAATACTAATAATTGATGTTGTAGTTATCTATTAACTTTTGTGCTTTTGAATAGCATGGTCAAAGTCCTACTCCCAACCGTTTCCAAGCCCTGTTTTTGAACCTCATACCAGTTGTCCCCATTAAGCTTCAGAGTGTGTCCCATGTTTTATTTGTGCACTCTCATGTTAATAATTGTTTTGCTCTGGCTGGCGTAGCTCAGTGGATTGAGCGCGGGCTGGGAACCAAAGTGTCCCAGGTTCAATTCCCAGCCAGGGTACATTCCTGGGTTGCAGGCCATGACCCCCAGCAACGGCACATTGATGTTTCTCTCTCTCTCTCTCTCTCTCTCTCTCTCTCTCTCTCTCTCTCTCCCTCCCTTCCTTCTCTAAAAAATAAATAAATAAAATATTTTAAAAAATAATTGTTTCAATCAATTATTTGACAGTAAAGTAAATAGATAAATACTCAAAATAGAAAAATAGAGTGTCAAGACCCCAAATAAGACAAGAGAAGCAGAGTGACAGTCTTTGCTTTGGGCCTACCTAGCTTGGGTAATTCATAACACAAATACAAGGGTCCTCTGCTGTTAAAAATATCTGGAACCTGCTATCACTCTTCATTTTTCCAAGTGAATGTTTGGCAGAAATCTTCCACATTATTTATTTAATAATTTGTTAAAAATTATAGTTTTACAGCTGAGTGATTTGATTACTTTTTGTTTTCTTTGAGAATCAAGTACATAATTGGGATTGATTTTTCTGATGGACACTGTGTGGATGATTAGGATTTTGATGAATGCCCCCCAATTCCAGTGTGCAGAAGACTTGTTTTGGAGACTTACCTGGCTCTCTTTTCATTAGCTGCCATCTCCCCTCTTCTGGTCCACTGTCCAGTTTTCATAGCTCTGCCATGGAAAAGTTTAAGGGAAGAATGTAAAGACCAGTGTGACTCTGTCAGGTACAAATGGGCACAGGGAGCTGCTCACGTAGGGGCTACTGGCTGCCTAGAAAACATGAAATACAGTGAGTTTGCAACAAGAAAGTTCTGACAAACAGTGGCCTCTTCTAATCATAAACAAACAATTTATCCGCTGAAGATATCATATGGCCCAAAGAGTCAGAGAACTTTTACATAAATAATCTATATGGTGTTATATTAAAGAGGAGAGAGGATTCCAAGATAACTGCAGAGTTATAGCTAAATTCTAAAGCAATCAATCTGAATGTCCAACTTAAACACGGCTGAGCAGGAGTATTATATCCAAGGACTTATAGAAGGACCTACACAGAGACTGGTAAGAAGGGCAAAGATGCTGAGAGAGCTGGCCCCTGCACACATGAGCAGCAGCTGAGAAGCTGGAGAAATATATCAGGTGTAAAACTCCCCCCAGGAGCCTTGACCCTATGCAGGGATCCCCAACCCAGAGCAACAGAGTTGGAAAGAGGAGCCCACATAGCATCTGGTGGTGAAAATCAGTGGGTATTTAGTCTGCCATGTTTGAGAAGGGAGTCTGCTAGATACCCAGAGGCCACCTTCCTGGGCAGTACACTGCCCTGTCCTCCACTTACTGGTAACACCATTCTGCTGTGCTTGGGTCCTGTAGGAAGGTCTGCTGGCTGCATCCAGCATGAAACTTTGGGATCTCACCTGTCCAGAACCCACTCTGCAGTCTTTCTTTTGGAAGGCTCTGGAAGAAGACCAAGAAACAACAGGGGGAGGCAGGGTAGCTAACAGATGGAGGTAGACCTCAGACAGTCTTGGACCTTTTATATATCTGCCCCCAGCTCTAAGTTGGTGGACTCTGACCTTGATACACAGACTGGTGCCTACCATAAACATTCAGGCCCAGTAGATGCAGCCAAAAATAGTGAATAGTGTGGTAGTTTCAGAAAGATAGCCCAAGGCTGATTACACACAACATCTATCATAGACCTGAACCTGAACCATGCAAAAGTGGAGCCAGAAGCAACACAATCAGTAGTGCACTTTAGACCGCAACAGAGCTCAACCCAAGTAACCTCACAAGTGACCCAAAGGGGTATTCTGGCAGGAACCAGACGCTGCTGGGAAGAACTTTGCTACAAGAGGCAGCACTTGCACAATGATGATTGCACAGTGACTCATACATAGAGATTGAGTGCTTGCTTCAGCAACACATATACTAAAATTGGAATGATACAGAGAGGATTAGAGTGTCCCTTGCACAAGGATGACCCACAAGCTCATGAACTGTTCCATATTTTAAGGAGTTCTAGCCAATACGGATGAGTAGGTAGAAAAGTTTCACTTCCTCACATAACCAAAAGAAGGATAACAACCAATCTAAAAACAATAAACCGTAAGTGCCAGAAAATCATGGAACTCCAACAACCAAGGAGTTAAAGAAGGCCAGCAAAGGGAAGGAAAATGGAGACAGAAAGACACTTTGCTTGGGGCAGAGGGTGCATGATGCAAATGATGGTTTATTGAGTTGTATACTTGACACCTGTATTGGTGTTGTGAACCAATGTCATCCCAATAGATTCTATTTTTAAAAAGGGAGAGATAAAGAAAGAGTGTCTGGGAATTCCAGCTTTCCACCTCTCCATTCAGCCTCCTGCCTGAGATAATACTGGTCCAGGCTCACTCTGCAGGTGTGGACTATTTGCTATTGATTCTGGGGGACATGGAGAAACCCTGCCTGGTTGCTCAGACTACAAATGAAAGTCCGGAGTTGGGCTGCACACTTTCACTAGCTGGACTCTCCCACAGGTTAAAGCATCAGCATAAATACCACCATTGCTACCCATTGGAGACACAATGGGAAGGGAATGTCCTTGTTTCTTAAAACTGAAATATGCCCAAGTGAGATCCAGACATCTCTGTAAAAGGCTGGTTGCTCAGTGTGACTGAGAAAGACAAGAGAGTTGGCCCTGGAAGGTTGAGTCCCAGGCTCAGTTTATTTAATTTATTTTTCCCTTGTGGAGAAGAGGCATCAGAATGCTGAATTTCCTAAACCTGAGGGAAGCAAGACACTTGAGTCTAACAATGCAATCCAGTTGTAACTTGGCTAAGCTTATGCCCATGAACACCTGAAGGGGAATTTTTGCCGTATATGCTGTGCAAATGTGAAAAGCCACAAATGGAACAAGAGATGTTGGCACCAAAAACATACTTTTTGCCTCCAAGGCTGATTGGCTTTCCTCAATTCCTTAGCACCAGGTGTGCAGAGATACCCAGAAGAGTTCATTTCTGAACACCCAATTCCCAGAGGATGAGGGAGAGCAACTTTCTCTCCCTGCCACCACTTGTTCATCATGAGACCAGGAATGTGCAGCATGTACCCAGGGCCCAACTGAGTGGGGCAAGGAAAACCTGAAGAGAGAAGTGTAGGAAAAAATGAAGTCAGCCAGGCTCCCTCACCTGGATGTCTGGGCAACTGTGGCTTGGTAGTATTCATGTGGCCTTGAGTAAGGGCCCTCATGTATACAATGAAGCTCTGTTATGTAACTGAAGGTCAGTATGGGCACCTTGCTGGCTCTGTGTGCACTGAAGGTCAGTGTTGGCACTCTGCCAGCTTTGTGTGCCCTTAGTATTTGGGGGAGTTGGAAATTCCCCCAGTGCAACTCTTGGCTTGGGGCATGCATTAATTGCCCCACCACAGAATAAAGGCATGCCAGATATCCCAACAGCTCTGGGAATGTTCTTCCCTTTGCCCTGATCCCATGTAAACTGGTCTGGCCTTGAATGGCTGCAGGACAATTGACAAATAGGCAGTATTTATATCAGTATGGTATGGAGAAGCTGTCAGGATCCCCAGAGAGGGGCTTGTCAGGGTGGCCTGCTACCGGCATGTGATATCCTGTGGTGAGTCTCCTAGGAGCTTGTGCTCTCCCCCCAGTATTGGCCCAATGTTAGTGGTGTACCTGACACAGTAAAGAAAGCCCTGCAGGTGGTAGGGAAGACCTTGAAAAAGCCAAGTGCCCAGACAGCAGAGGGAGGCCATGGGCTGGGTGTTTCAGCTTTGTGGAGCTAAGATGAAGACTGCACTTCAGGAGGCAGCAAAGTTACATGAACTCCAAGGAAAAAAGGAAGCATTGGAGGCCGGAATCTGTGCCCCGGAGGAAGACCTCCAAATGCCGGGGCAGCTGTGACCTCCCTCCCATAGTGAATGATTCTAAGGAAGAGGAGGGGGAAAGGAACTGGGTTCCCTTGTGGGATCACCCAGTAGGTATACAGAAAATAAAATTACAGCAGTCTATGGCACCTGGGAGTAGTCTGGATCTGTGCAGCCCGTGGCCCCTTTCCCTCCCGCACCATGCATCAACTTGGAACAAAGTTGCCAAGATCAATGGGTAAAGAGGACTGTGGTTGGGTACTCTGGCAGTGACCAGTGCCTGCCCCTGGAAAGCTCCACTCCAGGAGTTCTGAACAGGGCATGTGGTGGCAGGGGAACCCATGGCAGTGGCTGGAGCCACAGAGGCAGTGACAGTGGAGACAGTGATGGTGGCGTCAGTGGTGGACAACCCAAGAGGATACAGCAGCAGGAGGGATGGTGTCTGGAGACCCCTGTATCCCTCATCCAAAAAGCAAACCTGTGCGAGTGATTAGGACTCGAAGAAGAAGAAGAAGAAGAAGAAGAAGAAGAAGAAGAAGAAGAAGAAGAAGGAGAAGGAGAAGGAGAAGGAGAAGGAGAAGGAGAAGGAGAAGGAGAAGGAGAAGGAGAAGGAGAAGGAGAAGGAAGGAGAAGAAGGAAGGAGAAGGAGAGGAGAAGGAGAAGGAGAGGAGAAGGAGAAGGAGGAAGAAGAAGGAAGAAGAAGGAAGAAAAGGAAGAAGAAGAAGAAGGAAGGAGGAGGAGGAGGAGGAGGAGGAGAAAGAAGAAGAAGAAAAGAAGAAGAAGAAGAAGAAGAAGAAGAAGAAGAAGAAGAAGAAGAAGAAGGAGAAGAAGAGGAAGAAGAAGAAGACGACGAGGGCGGCGGCAAAGGAAAAACCGGGGGATGCGACCTGAAAGGACCATCCCATAAGTCCAGAACACCATTTGACTGTGCCAACCTCCCAAGAAGAGGGAGGAACTAAATATCCTTTGGACATTCAATAGGCAGAGGGCCAAGGAACTCATCAGTTGGGGAATAGAGGCCACATGTGGAATTGGCTATCTATTGGTCCCCTACAAATGTTCAGTGGGTCCTGGTTCTAGTAGACACAGGGACAAAATGTACTATCCTGTAATGGAAACCCTGAGAAGTTCCCAGGCCTAAGGCCTCTGTTGATGGTTATGGGAGACACAGTGTAAAGATGAAAGCCCTACTGCTCTCTCTGGGATCTTCAGTGGGTGATCGCCCCACTGAATATACTGTTTATATGTCCCCTATTCCTGAGTATATAGTGGGCATTGATGTGCTCCAAGAATTGTGGCTGCAAACCATTGTAAGGGAGTTCTGCCTAGGAGTTTGAGTGATAAAAACTATTCTGTGGGGACATTCTGAGCATCCCTCTGTTCAATTGCTGTCCCCACAATGGGTGAAGAGTACTGGCTGCCTGGAGGGCATGAGGAGGTCATGGCTACCATAGGAGAGTTGGAAAAGGCAGGAATAATTAGGGCTGGCCACAGTCCCTTCAACTCTTCATGTGTCCAGTACAGAAGCCAGATGGCACATGAAAAAATGACGGTAAATTACTGGAAGCTCAATAAGGTAATTCCCTCAATATGTGCAATGGTATCTTCTGTGGTGGACTTGATGTGGTTAACGAACAAGATGGGAATCTACCATTCTGTGACTGATCTGGCAAATGCTTTTTTATCCATTAACACTGCTTGGGAAAGCCAAGATCAGTTTGAATTTAAATGGGAAAGCCAACAATGGACTTTTACAGTGCTCCCTCAAGGGTATTTACACATCCTGACCATTTGTCATGGGCTTGTGGTGGAGGACCTGGCTAAATGACCACGGTCTGCTACTGTGTGCCTTTTTCACTACATTAATGAGATTTTGCTAACCAGTGATTCTCTTACAGAATTAAAGAAAGCAGCATTGCAAGTGCTGTCACTCCTGAAGTCATGTGGCTAGGAACTCAATGAGGCCAAGCCACAAGAGCCTGAATTATCTGTAAAATTCTTGCGGGTTGTCTGGTTAGGTAAAACAAAAGTAATCCCCAATGTGGTAATAAATAAAATTCAGGCATATCCTGCCCCTACCACTGTGAAACAGCTCCAGACATTTCTGGGCCTGCTTGGGTACTGAAGAGTGTTCATGCCCCACCTTGCTCATGAGGGTCATTTGCCCCTTGTATGCCTTGGTAAAAAAAGAAGCAAGCTGGGGCTGCACTCTGACTTTGGAACAAGTGTTCCAAAAAGTGAAGTGCATAATTAAACATGCTCACAGGCTGTGAACTAAAGTGTCCCAGGTTCGATTCCCAGCCAGGGTACATTCCTGGGTTGCAGGCCATAACCCCCAGCAACCGCACGTTGATGTCTCTCTTTCTCTCTCCCTCTCTCTCTCTCTCTCTCTCTCTCTCTCTCTCTCCCCCCTTCCCTCTCTAAAAATAAATAAAAAATAAAAATAAAATCTTTAAAAAAAACATGCTTAGTCCTTGTATGTTCTGAATCCTGCTAGACCCTGTGCGCTAGATGTGCACATGACACAAGAAGGCTTTGGATGGGGTCTTTGCCAGTGATCGGAATGGCTATGTTAACCCTTGGGTTTCTGGTCTCAACTATGGAAGGGAACAGAGGTATCACACTC